TTGGGTCGTGCTGGCGCTCGGTGATTGGTTGCCCTGCGGTTTCTTCCGGCGCGCTGGCGAGAGGGCCGTCCCCTTCCTAACACTAAGCACCTGGGGACTGATATTCCGCACACAGCAGCAGTGAGTGGCTGGGGAACTAGCAGGTTCCTGTGGTGTGACCTTTGGTCTTTCATCCTTGGGGCCTTCCTTGGTTCCTGACTATTTGCCAGTCTAATTCTCCAGCCTCACATCTTCCCAGGAGCCCCCAAGATCCTGCTCAGAAACTGATTTCCTTAGATGGACAGACTGATGCATTATCAATGGTTTGCAAGACAGAGTCATGGCTGAAATACACTTCCATTTGTTTTTTTAAGTTTTATTTATTTAACTAATTCCTGCACCCAAAGAGGACTCAAACTCATGACCTCAATCAAGAGTCACATGTTCTTTGGGCACCTGGGTGGCTCAGTCAGCTCAGTGGTTAAGCATGTGATTTTGGTTCAGGTCGTGATCTTACAGTTTGTGAGGTCGAGCCCTGCTGCGTGCGGGTGAGCACAAGTCCCACTTTGGGTAAAACACAAGCCATGAGTGAGCTCCTCTCCTCTCCTCTCCTCTCTCTCTCTCTCTCTCTCTCTCTCTTTCTTTCTCTCCCCCCCCCCATTACTTGTGTTCTCTCTCTCAAACCAGGAAAAAAAAAAAAAAGAGTCACATACTGTTCAGACTGAGCCAGCCAGGCATCCCTATGCTTCCATTTTTATTCTTCAAAACCATTTTTGTTTATATTGGTCTGGTTTAGTTTGGACCTGTTAGGCGCTCCTCCTTCTTCTGCCAGAAGAAACTCACTTGCTTCTCAGTTTCCTTTCACTTACTTCCCTCCCACACAAAGCTCTACGTCTTGCCACACCATTGGGTTAGACATGCAGCCTACACTAAAAGAAATGATCCCATTCTCCTAGACACAGATTGCTCTGACTCCAGAGGGGCCACTACCCCTTTTCTGTGACTGAGGTAGGTAGGCACAGAGAGAAGATATTTTGTTTTCAGAGAACAGAAGCACTAAGAATCATATTAGCCTGTTTTGCTAGTGGCTATCACTATAGCCAAGTAGAAAGAACCTGATGGAAAATTGCATCAAATCAGAGGACTACACAGAGAGAGAGAGAGAGAGAGAGAGAAGAAAGAAGTCAGAAGAGAGAAGCATTAACGTGACTTCCTTTGTACCACTTGTTCACCTGCTCCAGAAATACCACCTTTGTAAACACTTAGTACATTCCTTTTGCTTGAAGGAGTCTAGTTTAGGTTTATTTCACTTGCAGTGAGAGAAATCTTCCTTTTCTCCACATCTTGAAGCCAGCTAATGAGAGAGAAGAAAATTATCTCATAATTAATTTATACTAAGTTGTAAATTACTCATGGCTTAATATTTCATTTACTCACCCAAGTTTAATTCAGATTTTTGAAGGTACACTGAAAAGTTGATACCCTCTTCCCATAACACTCTGTAGTATTTGCTTTTTTGTTCTTTTCTTCACTTTTCTTTTATTAACAGCGTTAATTTTTTTTATTTTTCGTTTTTTAAATGTTTACTTAGAACAAGCAGGGGAGAGGCAGAGAGAGCGAGAGAATCCCAAGCAGGATCCATGCTGTCAGCATGGAATCCATGTGGGGCTTGATCCCATGAACCTTGAGATCATGACCTGAGCTGAAAGCAAGAGCCAGACACTTAACTGGCTGAGTCACCCAGGTGCCCCTATTAACAGGGTTAATTTTTTAAGAGCAGTTTTAGGTTTATAGAAAATCAAGCAGAAAGTACATATTTCCCCCTGTATCCCTTCTCCGTTCCCTCAACAATTTGTCCTGTTATTAACATCTTGCATTAGTGAGGTACATTTATCACAATTGATGAACCAATAGTAATAATTATTAATATAAATCCATAGTTTACATTATGGTTCACTCTTTATGACATTATGCATTCTACGGGTTTTGACAAATGCATAATGTTGTGTATCCGTCATTACAGTTCCACACAGAATATTTTCACAGCCCTCAAAATTCCCTGTGCTCCACCTGTTCATTCCTCTCCCCCCGTCAACCCCTGGTAACCACTGATAATGTTTGCTGTCTCCATTGTTTGCCTTTTCTAGAACGTCCATATAGTTGAAAGCATACAGTATGTAGTCTATTCAGATTGGCTTTTCACTTAGTAATATGCATTAAAATTTCCTCTATGATTTCTCATGGTCAAATAACTCATTTCCTTTTATTGCTAAATAAAATACCATTGTCTGGATGTACCACGGTTTATTTATCCATTCACCTACTGGAGGACATCTTGGTTACTTCCAATAATGAATACAGCTGCTATAGATTGTATGACCTCTTTCTCCGATGGCCAGCCTGTCCTATTTTGAAAGTTGCTTTTCATTTTTCAAGAGCTACTGAGATGTCACTGGACTGACAACCTTCAAGCTCCCCAAGATCATATAAATCCTACCACACTCTCTTCCTAGCATCCTTCCTATAGGTTTCTATAATAGCACCATCCCATTATTGGGTGGTTCCTTGGTCTCTGTATTCTTTGTCATGGTGAACTCTTTCAGGATGTCTTACTCTCTGCTGAGTTATCTAAACTGTTTTTATCTACATTTCCTTGTCTGTAAAATAAAGATGAGAGAGTTGCAAGAATTAAATAGATTAAGTAAATACATTTAGAATATATATATTTAGAATATAGAGATTATATATTTAGAATATATTTTATATATATATTAGAATACATATATTTAGAAATAGTACCTGACACACAGTATACACTGTATACATTTTAGCTATTATTCTTTTTACTTATTTATTTACTGAAAGGGACATTTCTTTTTATTTAGTTTTTTTTAATGTTTATTATTTTTGAGAGGGAACAAGAAAGAGAGAGCACTTGGGGGAGGAGCAGAGAGAGAGAGGTTTACAGAGAATCCCAAGCAGGCTCTGTGATGTCAGTACAGAGCCTGATACGGGGCTCAAATTCATGAAACATGAGAGCATGACCTGAGCCAAAATCAAGAGTCAGATGCCCAGCTGACTGAGCCCCAGGCACCCCAGAAAGTGACCTTTTTTTTTTTTTTTAAAGTTTATTTATTTATTTATTTTTTGAGAGAGAGTGCAAGTGGGAGAGTGGGCAGAAAGAGAGGGAGAGAGAGAATCCCAAGCAGGCTCCGCGCTGTCATCAGGGAGCCCCATGTGGGGCTGAATCCCAAGACAGCAAGATCATGACCTGGCCTAAACCAAGAAGCTTAGCCAACTGAGCCATCCAGGCTCCCAACTATTATTCCGTTTATTATTAATACTAATCTGTGTGTATATAGCAATCAGAATATATATATATACCATGTAATAAATTTTTGAATCAATAGTTTCCTCATGGCGTTGATATGTGACTGAACAGGACTTACAATTTAAAATGATATGATAACTGTGTCAGAATCTTACCATCTATGCTGGTGGGGCTTCCCCACCACATTGCTCACCATTTGCATGGCCTTGGAGACTCCAGGCTAGGCTGCATCTGTGGTGAGGGCCTGACAGGCAATGGCCAGCTGACCAGGCCCGGAACTGTTGAAAGAACCCGGGGCTTTCTGCCACTTCCGGGTCCACAAACGATCCAGAAACTTTATATCTGGTGCTTCTGACTTGATTCATCTCTCAGGAACTGACAGAAACTCAAATAAAATAAACCCAAGAGGCTCTGGGGAGAAAACTAGAACATTAATTCCTTAATTTTCCATAAAATCTATGATTGTCTCTAGAAAACTCCATACCATAGTCCTACCTCAGTCTGTGGGCTTAAAAATATCTCCCCCAGTTTGCATACAACCGGTGCCATTTGAACATGAGGATACAAAACACATCAGTGCTTCCTTCATATCCTCTTCCTGTTTCAGCAAGGAATGATTAAAGTTGAGCTGATGTCAACGTGTGCTGGGCACCCTGGGACCCAAGTCTCAAAGTGAAACATATCCGAGTTCAAGTAATCCAACCAGCTTCCAGCTTGTTTCTGCAGTGGAGGTAGGTCCATCTGCTTCTAGGGGTTGTTGTGGGAATAAACAGAGAATGTATTTCAAACATCTAGCAGAGAGCCTGCCCCAAGTTCACTTGCTTGTCCACCTGGTTGCAAGCTCAGGGAGAGCCCAATTCCTGCTAAGTGCCCACACCCTACTCCATGGGGATTTCTACCTGAACCTCTCTTGGCTAACTTGCCTTAAGGCTTAGACATAACTAGCTTTTCAAAAGTTGAGTCAAAGATTAATTTTTTTTTTTTAAGTTAAATCTCTTTGGGCCACAACAGCACTTGAGACTTAATTACTTTATAAATGAGCTTTGATCTCTCAGTTGTGACAGGCTTTCCACCCTCCCTCCTACCCACAGTTCAGTTGACTATGCCTAATTATCTTATCTTGCTAAGTCATTAAATATGCATTTGCTAAAGTCATTTCCCTTCTCTCCTCGCCCCCCCCCCCCCCCGGAGATTTTATCCTAATTACTGATTTGCTTTCCTTCATGAGAGTATGATTAGTTGGTGAATCTTTTGTTCGCTAACGTGTCTATGTGGCGGGGTCGTCTCGTGGCTCCTTCTGTGCCGATGCTAGTCGAGTCCTTCTTCCCTTTTCTCTCCAAAGAAAAGAACTGGTAGAGAAGTCCAAAATATACAGTTGGTCTAAACGAGCAATTTTTGGACTGGGTAAACCATTGGTGTCTTAGGCAGGGTTCTTCTATAAGCGAAGACTGAGACAAAATCTGCTGGGCAGGTAGTTTGCCTGTTGGCGGGACATGTAAACCCAGGGACAAGAGTAAGACACCAAGGTGAGGATAAAAGGATGGAGTGAGAGGTAATGCACGGGCATGTTGCCAAGTTCACCACTGTTCTGGTGCACAGGCGTTCCAACCTACTGAGCCTGGGTCTATGTTTCTTCATTCACTTAAACCTTTCCTGCGCTCTCTCTCCATAGTAACTTCATGTGCTGCACACAGGCACATTTCTCCACCACCTTGCAAGAATTATTAATCTTCTCCTTCTGCTCTTTTTCCTGCAGTAAATTACGGGGACCAGGGTTGGGATGCCATTGATAGTATCTATCTTGCAAGACCCATATCAGACATGAGGTTGACAAGTGAGAAACCAGGACCTCCAGAGAGTGCTAGGGTGCCAAAAATAGCATATAATCTCGAGAACTTTCGAGGCCTTTCCAGGTCCTTCCCTAACCTCCACGTACATTGCAGATCATACATAAAGCGTTCCTAGGCTCAACAGGACAAGGCAGATTTGGGACCAATCCCCTGCCTTCTCATTGGCTGCCCTTCCAGTAATAAAGCTTTCTCTGCTTCAAACTTGATGTTTCAGAGATTTGCTTACTGAGCATCAGACACACGAATCTGATTTCAGGGTTTGGCAACACTGTGGCATTTTCTGAGGATCTTGCCAACACAGGACTCTGAATGTCCTCCCCGGGGAAGTAGGAGACAGCGTGCATCCATTGACTCTGGTTCCCTATCAGTCATAGGACTTGGCTCCCGGGTTGCACCTTGGGGTAGGAGGTGTATGAGTAACCTTGTAGGCGATAGAAACCTCAGGCACATCATGCTGCAGAGCCAGAAAAGCCCAGAGCAGGAAGCACCAGGTAGATGGCGTAATCCAGGCACCGCACTGTCAGAAGTAGCAGCCTGAAGCTGGTAGACACCTGAGTAGGAGCGGAGGGGACCAGCACGCGCATTAGAGATCAAATTGGCATGTGAACCATCAGCCCTTTTAATTCTCCTTCCAGTCTAATTTCACAAAGGATACAGCCCTTTCTCAAACCCTATATCTGGTGCTACTCATTTTGAACTAAAGGCTAGAAGGAACATCAAAAGTGATTCTCAACGACACTCTTGGTGTATCGATTATTTCAAATAACATTGTAAAACTCTCCAAAATCATTTGAACCTGCATGCGAACATACCGCAGAACACATTTAAGAGGAGTGTTGAGTTGGGGAAGGAGGCATGGAGTCAAGTCAAGCAGCAATGAGATGTCCCCGCTCCCCAAAGCATTAGGAGTTTGCTTAAAGCACCTTGACACTGTCCAATGGAAGCTCGTGGCTGCTTGGAAAGCTTCTGCCGCGGATTCTGAATCCCCTTTAGAGTAGGGAGTGGGATGATTTCAAACCTGAGATGATGGAGGCACAGAGAGAATGCTGCCTTACAAACCAGAAAGTCCTGGGGGAAATATTTTCTTCTGACAATGAAGGAGACCATTGTCTGCTTCTGAAGTGGCTTACTTGTGATTCAGACAGAGCATTTTTATATTTCTTCAGCGTAACAGAAGTAATTTAGAGTCTAAATTTAAATGTGCACGATTCCAGAGGGCAGGGAGTTGATTTATATACTTATCACATTGTGGCTAATCATGTATTTGAAGAACAAGAGGAAATTACACTAAGTAAAGCAGGCAAATATGTAAAGGCCAGAGTGTCTTCAGAAATCAATTACTAGACTCTGGTTAAAAGTCACACGCATGATAACTGACAGGAGAGGTTTACATTCAGATCTGTAGAGAAAACATGACCTTCACCTTCTAAGTTAATGAAAGAACACTTTGTGTTGCCCTGAGGAAAAACAACAATCCTCTAGCTCACAGAAAAGTGAGCTATTTAACTATATAAACTATAGACACGTGCTTGTAGTTTTCATCAGCTGCAATTTCTCATTCTGAGGTTGTTTTCAGGAAGAGAGCCTGACCTTAGGATGCGATAGTAGGATATTTGCCTTAGAAGAGTCAGCCTGTAACCCTTAAAAATCTTGTAAGTGCGTTACAATTTCTGGAGGAGAACAGATGCTATGGTATTTGCCTTTGCTACTTCTGCTCTGAGACAATGGGAATTTGAGCAAAGTCGATATCCCAGATGACACTGTGGAGAAAGAGAAAGGCAGAAGGGAGACCCAGCGAGAGAATGATTGAGTGAAGCAGGTGTGTATGGTGGAGGCAGAATGTTGGAGGTAGGACAGAAAGTAGAAAGGAACATTTGTAAGATTAGTCATCTTTATATAGTATGGGGAGTAAAGACAGAAGACAATGTGTCCAGAGAGAGATGGACAAGGTCAAGGCCTTAAGAAACAAAGGCTATTTAGAAGTTTATTTTAGAAGCTGCACGCAAGATCATGATAAGGGGGTTATGCTAAAGGCATGTCTGTATGAATGTGGGATTTAGCGGTAAGCTATAGATACGTTTGGCTATAACTCAAAAAAATGATTAAGGATAAGAAAAGAAAGTTATGACTTTCCTGCTTCAATAATAATTGAGAAGATTCACATTTGCTGTTCTGGAATGAAGGCATGGCAAAAAGTTCAGACTGAGCTTGGTAATAACAGGAAAAGTAAGATTGGGGTGTGTGTGTGAGAGAGAGAGAGAGAGAGAGAGAGAGAGAGAGAGAGAGAGAGAGAGAGAGACGCTGTAGGAGGCTTCCACTTAAAACCAGCCTGCCAACATGTTTATATATGTGATCAACTTCTTTAAATTCTTATCAAGGGGATTAAAAAGATAATTTTTTTTTCAACGTTTTTTTTTTTATTTATTTATGGGACAGACAGAGACAGAGCATGAACGGGGGAGGGGCAGAGAGAGAGGGAGACACAGGATCGGAAACAGGCTCCAGGCTCCAGGCTCCGAGCCATCAGCCCAGAGCCTGACGCGGGGCTCGAACTCACGGACCGTGAGATCGTGACCTGGCTGAAGTCGGACGCTTAACCGACTGCGCCACCCAGGCGCCCCAAAAAGATAAATTTTAAAAATACACAATGCTTTATAATTGACTTGGGAACATCATATGCAGATCATATAGAAGACAAATTTTAGTCAAGGAACACAAGAGAAACTTTTAGAGGTTATCAGCTTCCAGTAAGCCAATAAAATAATAAATGAATAGAAAGACCATAAACTTTCTCTTAAATACCAAGAAAAGCTGAGGCTCACACAATTTATGACAGTCTCATTGTGAAGATTGTTACAATGTAATCAGAGACCCTAACCACATTAGATGTTTCAGTATTTTAAAGTATAGAAACAACAAAAAACAGCAAGGAGGATTCAGTACATTTGATTTACCACCTGCTTGAAGCATGGATACAGATTATTAACAGGTATGATAAAGAGTAATATTTACTGAGCATTGTTCAGGCACACAGTAATGTTGGATGCTTTATCTCCTGTAAGTCTTCTGACAATGCAAGGAAGTCAGACATTGTTATTTTCATTCTACAGAGGAGAAAACAGATTTAAAAGGTTGGGAAATGTATCATATTCAGTTTCACTCACCCCATGTTCATAGTACCTAGTCTAATGCTTGGCAAATAAAGATATTTAGTAACTATGTACTGAACAAATGAATGATGCTTAAACGAATGAATGAACAGAGTAATGATGCCTACATTCACAGCTTGGACTGCCTAATGTCAAATCTTTAAAACCTCTTCTCTATTGCTTGTAACTAACAGGACTGTGACACACAGTTTGAAATGAGAGTTTCATAATATTAATACTTGAAGCAGCCACCAAGACAAATAAGTTACATCCTTTCTTGGACACTTGGATGACTAATCCAATGGGATATCTACCAAACCAATCCTAACACCTATGGAGAAAATAGGTGTTTTGCCCCTCCTTCATTTTCCAAACCAAAAATTAGTGCCTACATTCAAGATAGGCTTAAAAAACGACTAGGGGGGAAGCATAATCACAAAGTGCCTGCAAAACCCCATCCTTACAAATAAATTAAACCCCAGAGTATTCAACAATCAGGGAGTCATCACAGTCTTTTTTTAAAAGTGGTGGCGAGGCGGGGAGAAAAAGAAACCGTGCTTATAGGAGTCAGAAGTGAGGACCCTTCAGAAAAATTTCAAAATATGAACTGAGAAAGAAAAAAATCAGAATTGGTGCAACATAGGTGATGTATGCCATGCTCACCACAGCAAGGAGAAGTCCTGTCCCATGTTCACTTAGGTATCTTCATTTAAGCAGTCAAATTGTCTCCAC